AACCGTTCTCGATCTACAGCTGTACGCGGCATTTTTCCGTCGTAAATTATGGTAACCGCTTGGTAAATGGCCTAATTTCAGATTTAACTAGTACCTACTTCTATAGTCCCTACCCACTTAAGATTTACTCAGTAATTACTGTTTTCATCCAACAGGAAAGGTTTAATTCATTTGTCCTTGACTTAAGGATGTAACTTTTTAGTCTGTGATCAACATCTCTAGAACCAATTGAATGCTATTAGCCGGTTTTAAAACTTGGTCAACCTTCCTTTGAAAAATCAAGCAACTAAGTTATAATTTATCTGCGCTGGGCTTTATATCAACTAATTCACTCAAGTGTTCATCATACTTTTGCCCACAGTCTACAAATCAAGTGCAAAAAATAGTGCGCAAAATTCATTATCAAACTAAATGATTTATTTGCTCGAGAATTTTACAGGAAGCTTTCTAGAACTTTTTCGCTTCGTTAAAAGGTGTGAACTTCCACATGCTAATCCTAGTTCATGTTCAAAATGTTGTTTTCAAATCTTTGTTTAATCACTGCTTTCAATTAAAGAACAATTCTTTTGAAATTTTATTTCCTATTGTAAGTTTAAGCAAATTTCCATCTCCTCTTCTAAACTCGACGACTCTCGAGAAATAAGCCAAAAAAAATTCAGTTCAGTCTGTTTAATGTTATTTAAGTGAAATTGAAAGTCTAAAAGCCGTTCAATATAACGACGAGAATTTTAAAGAAAAATTTCTTTACAAAAACATAAGCTGAAAATAAAAGGTGCTTTCAACAAGTATGAACTAGATTTGTTATGAATTCTCGATACACTTCTGACTTAACCGGTGTATACTTAACGCAAGCTTTAAGTAAAAACCAATGGCATTTCTCTTTGATTTTAGCGCAACTCTCTAGAAGCTTCTAAGGCATTTTTAACAGAAAGTATAATGCCAGTAATTCAGGTGATGCTTCTTTTGTAAAAGATGCAAATTTGAAGGCAAGAGAACAATTAAGATGACAAAGGTTAACCCTTATAAAAGGCACATTAAGTAGAACACATGACGCTCGATGGTAAAATATCGGTGGAATTCAAAGACTCCATTCGAACATTAAAGGACTTATGATTTTTCCAGGGCGTTGGCGCTCTTTTATAGTCATGCAACCGGCAAGAAAATAATTTTGACAAGAATTAAAAGAATTAAAAACGTATTCATCTCTTAGAGTTTCGCTTAGACTATTTTGTCTCTTTCTAACAAGCTTCATTTAATGGCCAAAAAATAATGGTGAACACTGTTTTACACCGCGCTCCCAAGGGTAAGGAAAAATCTGAACAATTTATCACTGAGAGTCACGTCCGGTTGTTTCGATACAATTTTTCGGAGACCACACCGATATCTTTCAATCGCCTTTAATTATAAGTAATTTTATCCTTGTCCAATCACTATGAAATTTTCACCACTGACTGACTTTGGTTTGAAGTTTGTCAAAATTGTAGTTTTAAGTGAAATCAATATCACCATGACAACAATAAACGAAAAAAGTTTGAAATCGATAAAACTCCGTGTTCGACCTACTGCTGGAAAGCCGACGCCAGGAACTAAATTCTGAAAGTTCAAATAAAAGGTAAATATATTTCAAACTTTATATTTTCAATAGCCGTGAAGAATTGCCTAAAATAAAAAAGAAATTCATCTTAAGAAGCGTCAAGATGCTGTTTAATATCGTATTTCACTGCTCGGAGATTTTGGTGTATTTTCTTTCATGCTATCCTGAAAACCTAACCTGTTTTCTCCTCCGTGATCCGGCCAAGTGCATCCTCGGAGACCCAGGGGCAGTTAGTCACCACGAACATTTTATCGACCCGACTAACTGCCCCTGGGTCTCCGAGGATGGGCCAAGTGCAGCTTTATTTTTATTTTGACTTTTAGCACTCTTCTGTAGATCTCTAGAACGGCTCGAAAGAATTCCTTTTGAACCTTGTCACATAATCTCCACGAGTGTATACAATAATGAAGGAAACTTTCATTAAGATTGATTCACCGCAATACCTTGAAATTTCAAGACAAACCTACCCAGGCCAAAAAATTCCGCGGTGCATTACATTCAATGCTTTGACGTTATGCTAATTTTTCCAAATTAAAGCGGACCATACATACCTCCATGATGGGTGTATTTCAGTGTGAATATTATCAATTTTTTACGTTAAAAAAGTGCAATAATACTCAAATAGAAATCTAGTCATGGCGGTGAGATAACAGGTTAGATCTCAGGAAATACACTAACATTTCCAAGCAGCGAATTATGATATTAATCAAAAAACCTAAAAATGGCCTTTCACCAACTTTTTCACGTGATTTGACATGAAATAAACAGATTAGGTTGTTCTATCCTGAAAAGTGGATTTTTTTCAAAAAGCTTGGTACTTTGCTTGACACATTCGCTCTTGGAGATTTTGCCGAAAAACGCGTTTTGAAGCTAGTCGAGTGGTTTACTGGTCATTGTCCTGCTATAAAGAGCTAAAACTTACCACAAACCGGTTTACAGGTCGTACACTTCACGGCCTTCTGGTCCAGATGCAAAATATCAGCTCGCAAAGTTCGGGCGTGCGCAGAAAGCAAATTCGATCAGTCTTGACTTTTACTTTTCGCTTTCTCTCCTCCTCTCTTTTTTCGGTTTTCTTGCCTCATTTTTTTTTTCTCTTGCTGGGCATTTAGTAGGCTTCATTTTAATGGGAATAGTTTTTAGGAAAGCTTTTAGGATCTTAGGATTAGGTGAAAGGAAAGGTAGGTGAGCAATGGAACAAGATTTTCATGGAGATTTTCAGGTCAATGTCACATGGTTTTTTGCCTTTTTCTCTGTGTCCTTGACTGAATTGTGCTCATTCTGGTATGGTTTGAAAGATCTCTTAATCCTGCACAAGTTAGCGGACAAAGTTGTCCTTGACCGTTAAAAGTGATGACGTCACAAAGGTTAGAAAGGACGTGGATCCACACGGGCGGTTACGGGCGGTTCAGGGGCGAATGGGTTAACCAGCATTCTGACGCTACTTAAGATTAATTAATTTGAATTATTTAGAGCTTTTAATTAAACAATTTATCACGGCTATTGAAAATATAAAGTTTGAAATATATTTACGTTTCATTTGAATTAAAACATACAGAATTTTTTACTTCTCACGGAGGTTATTTGCTACTGAAATACCACACTTTAAGTTCCCGGTGTCGGATTTTTAAAAGCAGCTTTTACGGGCTTTTACCAATTTCAAAGTTTTTTGTTTATTGTTGTCATAATGATATTGATTTTACCTAAAAACAACTTCATTTCAGATAGTTAATCATTGGTGAAATTGTATAGCGATTGGACAAGGGTAATATTGTACAATATGTCGACAAAAACTTAACATAAAGTTTGCATGAGGGATGATGAATTGAAAAATATCTAAACAAGGAATATAAGACGAATTTAGCGCAAGATTATCTTTAAACCTTCTTTAGTTGCTCGTCACCGTTCTAAGAACCAGTACCCTTCATGAGTGAAATCAACAAGTCCAAAAAACATTCGCCTGTTCCAGGCGTTCAGAACAATGAGAGCGCGGGGGAAAAATTTACGACAAAACCGTTAATTCTCCCGGCGGTATAATTTAACTCGCTCCCCACCATCTGACCGCCCCGTTCTACTATCTGAACGCCTGGAACAGGCTAAAACAACATGTTCTCCTAGAAGCTTACATTTCAGGTTCAATACAAAAAAAAACTTAAGCTAAACTTTTCATTGGTTAGCCGTTGTAATAAACCGGCAAGCGGGAGCTTTGGGCTATGAGAGAGTTAGAAAATGGCGAATCGAAGTTCGATCAGTTGGTTTACTTTATGTAAACTAAATAACCTTTGGTCAAAACAGAGAGTTTCTTCTGGCTATGTATTTTTGTGTAAACATTTTAAGCCAACCAAACCATTGTGATATAATTGCAAAATATCTTAGGAGTCACCACATTAGCTGTGGTCACACTACAGACTTTTTACCTAGGTAAACACGACTTGTTGACAGTTTACCTAGGGAAAATTGATTTTTTAAGTGTGACCGATTTTTCCCCAGGTAACTTACCTCGGGAAAATTTTATCGTCTGGGTCTTGGATATGTCTCGAAAACAATAGAGTTTGCCTTGACAGCTACCCCAAAGCAATAGCTAGGGAAAAATAAAATACCGAGGTTGCTAGCCAATAGACGCTCATCGGCGAAGGTCTTGATGACAGAACCGGACATAGATCACGCTGTGAAAGAAATTTTGGGAGCACGAGTCGTCTACGTCTTCGCCTTTCTTCACCTTGCACGTTGAATTAGCGTAAGAAATAACAGCAAGATAAAAGAAAAAAACGTCTCTTTGATCAGCTAGATCCCTGCGCGTTTTGCCACCCTGAATTTACCCTTCAAAAAATTCAACTGGCGTGAAAACTTTGGGAGCCGATATCAGAAGTGTGACCTTACCAGAATTTTTACCTAGGTAAAACAAAACCCGAGATGAATTTACCTAGGCAGATTTTTGATTAATTTGCCCTAGGTAAATCGGTTTTACCATAGTTATTAGAGGAGACTGTTTATGAAAAGCGGCAAACATCAATGATAAAAACAACAGTGCTGCAGTTTATGTTGGAAGCACCCTGAAAGTGCACAATGCTTTGTTTTCTGTTGGCAAATTCACGGAATAAATTAATGCAACGTTTTTATTGGCCAATACAATCAAAATGATAGGAATTCTTTTGAATGTTGTACACTTTCAGGTCCACAAAAACATATATAACACAGGAGTCTGACGGGTTTCATAACCATTCCACTCAATTAACTATGGTTTTACCTAGGTAAAAGTCTGTAGTGTGACCACAGCTAATGCGTGCACACTTTACGACCAATCATTTTTAAAGTATACTGAACATACTAATATGTCGTTTACGAAGTGGAATAATAGTAAAAATATTTTCTTCGTATAGAGAATGATTTTCTTGTTTTATTTTGTTTAGCGTTGGGAATACGGTGCTATGACTGCAAGATTAAAAGTCCTGCTTCCTTGTGTGACAAGACCTTGTCCAACGATACTAACGCCGTAAACTGCTCAGGCATCTTCGACACCTGCGTGTCTACTGCTCTGACAATCAAGTCCAAAGTAGGAAACCTCGAAAAATCAGCCTATATGATGACCTGTGGCCAAAAGGTGAGTATTGCTCCGCTAAACCAACATGACAAACTGACAAACGAGCATCGTGCATTGTGTATTAAAGCATGTTCACTATTAGGGTTAGCTGGTTGATGACAGCGGCGTCCTGAACTGATTAAGGGCCTGTTTACATCAATCAATCAATCAATAAACTTTATTTACCCTCGAATTTACAGTGTAGCACTGAAGTGCTAATATCTTCGAGCCCCACCTCCACATGGAGGTGGGGGACCCCAGGTAAGTGAGGTGACTCGCTTTATTTTAATTTGATCACGTTTTCATGATAGGTGGTGTCACCACATAAGAGGTTATATGAACAGGCGGGTTACCCCACCTAAGCAGGTTACCTTACTTACCTTGGGTCCCCCACATCCATGAAAACAGGCTCTTAACTCGGCGCTGCCTAGCGTTTCGCGCCTCGGTTACGCTTGGTTGTGTTCCCGCACATTGCTCCACTGACGAAGCTCTAGCTACCTTCGTACTCTGATTGGGCTTGATAGCTCAGTACATAGCTTACACTGGCCCAGGAAGATCTAACTCAGAGGTCGGTGGTTCGAATCTCGTCGTGTCTAAATATTTTCTATGATCCTTGGTTTATATCGCTTTCCTTGCTGGCATTTTATTCAGAAAAAATTCAACGTGCTACCGCCTTATAAGCATTTAATTTTATACTGCATTAATTCCCCTTGGCTGACTTACCCCCGGTACTGATGAGAGCTCATTTAGTTCTTGTGGTTCAGTCTTTATTCTGACAAGGATAACCAGCAATTGAATTAACGGGTCCCAATATTCAGTTATTCCTTCTATTCTCTTGCAGAGTATCGGATGTTCCAAAATCGAAACCCATAATTGTGGTCGTGAAGGTTTCAGGAAGTTCATCGACAAAATCCCCGGATTTGAAGTGACCAAGTGTGGCGTGGCATGCTGTGATTCGGCCATGTGCAACAAAGCTGACATAGTCAAACCCAAACCAATCACCAAGAGCCTGGGTGTTAGCACAAGCGCCCGATCCGTCTTTGTTGTCAGCGGAATCATTTTTATTGTGGGATTGATTTTGTGAATCATTAGCAATTTCTGCAAAGTTAAGTCTCTTTTAACTCGGCTTTTACTCGCGACTTAACTCAGTAATAAGTCTGGAATTTTAACAACGTGACACTTTTTTTTTCTTGTTCCGTTGCCTTAATTTTGTGTATTTCTATTTGACTAAATGAAAACGAAGTTGCTCACTAGCAGTGAACAGATGAAAAGACTTGCTGTAGTTGTTTGATCCTATTTTGCCTGGGCATTTAATATAAACAGCACCTCACACGAAGTGACTCTTTTGTCGGTACATCAATAAAATACTTAAAGAAACAAGGTGTGTGGAGTAGGAACGATGCAGGTTCCAGGCCCCAGCTAGGTAAAGAATTCCTTGGAGGGAAAGGGAGCGGGGGTATCCATCCCATAATCCCTTGTGCACCTTATTTTTCTTCGCTACACACGTTCATTGGCGGGAGCAGATAAACATAGAGATAGAACAACATATCAGTCATTACCACAGGCTCATTGCCAATAAAAAGCAATAGTAAGAATGTATGACATTTTTAAACCATATTTAATACTTGGATACTAGACTTGATCCACTCTTTAGTCAGTTTGAAATGATTTTTTAATTTACCAGTCTTGTATTCGACCACAGCCCTTTGGCATTGTTTTGAGCGACTATGATTACCTCTCCTGTTCCTGCAAAATCCGTTTCAATCCTTTTTCACGCTGTTACTTTTTTGTTTCAGAATAATTTGTGTATTACCTGTGGGAAGTAAACCAGGTTAATTTATTTGGCCCATCGCAGCATTTACAGATGGTCAAGTGAGCCAAACATAGCTCATGAAAAGTAAAGTGTAGCCGGCTAATTTACTCCCCGCAAAGGAAATCTCCCGCCAGAATGTTCCCTTCAAAAATGAGCCCCACCCTTGTATTGTGGAACTGGAAGTGGTATAGTGAATATTAATATGACAGAATCAAGTTACAGATATTGAGTGTGATATCACCTGTGTTTTATTACAAAATACTCACTGAAATAAATAAATAAAAAATCTCGTGCAGTGTCTTTTAGCAAAAACGCTCCCACTAAATACAAAATGAAACATCACACTTTGCATAGGATTTAACCTGGTTTCGTTATGCATTGAGTGCGCCGCACAAATTGTAAGTGGGTGACGTTTTAGATACTAAGTTGCCGCGTGCATCGCGCATTTGAAATCTAAGGGGCAAAATTGAAAGGCGCGAAGTCATTACATAACAGGCTAATCTTTTCTCTTCCCTATCTGACGCGGGAAGTAAGATCTAGGGATTTTCGTTATTTTAAAAATCAAATATCAAGAGTCACGATCATGTCACGTTGAACTTTGTCCGGGAGCTTTTCACATATGTTTTCGGGTATTTTCACATAAAGTTGTGTTTCTTGGTCGAAAATTGCACCGCGGCCTATATAACCATACTCCAATTCCAAATAAGTCTTAAGGTCGTTCATTCCGGTTACCTCAAGCCCCTCAAAACTGTATTTTTTGAAGGGGAAAAAGATGGATTTTGGGAAGGCCTTCTTTCTGTAATCGTAAAGGCCTGGAATGTTCCAGTTAACACAAAAGCAATCTGAAAAATCTGGATGTTGACTGAGAGTAAAAACGTCCAGGTGAACGAGATCTCTGCTGATTAATTCATCATCTGGGACTCCGAACTGCAGCGAGAGAAGTTTTCTTGTTGCAAAAAATTTTATCCTCTTTGCTCCACATCCATTAAATGGTATTTCGGTTCCTTCAGCGTCAAACCAACTGCGACCCCGGTTTATCTTTTGATATTCCATAATAATATCACCGTCTGTAAAGGCTTGACAGGAATCTATCTTCTTAACAACATTGGCAAAGTCAGTCTCCATAATAGCAACGTCGATATCACCATCGTGTTCAATTATTTTCCCGCCTTCTCGATACACAGACAGTGCCGTGCCGCCGTATACGTAGTAGTTTACGCTTATGCTGTTCAAGTAGTCAATGACCAGCTTCATGAGATAAACCCGAGCAGGTTTAAATCTTTGGTTTTCTGCCAATATTTGTTGCCAGTTATCTGCGCGACACCATCCCCACATGTCAAAACTAAGCCACTTAGGGTTTTTCTCAACTTGAAACAGTGATTCAAGGCCAAATTCATCTGAGTCATCACTGTCAGAATCAGAAGAGTTAACTGGTTTCACTCCTGACATGATGTCAGCCAGTATTTTTTTCTTAAATATAGAAAAATAGTTTAAAAATTAGTCTTCAATTAAGAAAACTAATCAACGGTAATATTTGAAATCAAGGGTAAATCGATAATGTTCTTATGGCAGGGCTACTCAGGGTAAAGTTGATATCGAGCCCTGAGGCCCCCTATTGCATCACCATGAGCCGATAAAAGGGCTGCGGGGTAATAGACCATTTTACAGTTTTGGGCTTTGTATCCCAGCCTTTAAGTGAAAGTGAGGCTTAAGTTGACTTTGTTTTTATACAAACCTCACTTCTTTTCTAATGAAGATTATGCTTAAAAAATACTAGTTAGCATAAGAACAACATGATTTACATAATTAAGCAGGAAGGTTTCAGCATCAAAACAAGGTCAACTCCAGCCTTGTTTTCACTTGTAACTGTACAATGGACTATTGACTAATTAAAAACTAAGGAAGGCTAGTTATGAATCCCTGTATTCTGAGATAACCAAAACGAGACTAACACAGTCAGACGGAGGACACTGAGCTTAACAATTAATTCTCACGTTTGGTGTTAACCAGGTCAATATTGAAGAAAATTCAGCTAATTAAAAAACTTAAACGATTTACTAAGAGACATGGATTGCCAGACCCACTGTTCTGACATCTATGTATTTCTTAGTAATAACTACCTACACTGTACTGATTTGTCATGCCTGAAATTAAAATATTACAGGGATATGTTTTTCAGGCTAGGGCTAAAATAAGAAACATGACTAAACTAAAAAACAAATCAATTAGACAACTGATAAGAACCAATTCACAAGCTCCAGGCATTTTTTATACGGAGATCCCCAACACTGGAAGAGTTCCAAAAGATTTCAGTGGCGTTGGATTGCAATTAAATCTATTAAGACACTTTCCTTTGGTACACAGACTGCATGATCTAAAAACTCTGAGGTCGCAAACTCCCAGCTACAAAACAACAGCATTTAAAAGCTACCTATTAATACAAACTGAAAAGCACAGCAATTGATAAAAGGAGTTTTGTCACCAATAATACTTTTTACAAAACCTCCATGGTTAAAAAGTTTTTAAAATTTCTTCTGACCAGCTGTCAAAAAAAACAAAAATTAACAGATTTTCCACCTCAGCCACTTGAAAGATAATATTAGAGAAAAAAAAAACCTGTGGTTAATTCTGTGAGTGCAGCTAGTCCTTTACAGTTTTAAAACAATAGCTACACTTGTCAAAGCTTTACTGAACTGACCCTGACTGGCTATATAGTGAATTATGTTTAGTAATACTCAAAATTGTGCTACTCCTCTAAAAAGCACCACTTGTAACTAAGGACCACATTCTCACAGAAACAATGTCGTGCTGGTCGACTTTTACTGTTTTTATTACTGAAATGGTGAGAATGTTGCTGCTAGATCTGGTAAGGGGAGTAAGAGACACAGACCTTCAAAATGTCCTTTTATATATGCTATTGTTATCCAACATTTTTTAACAAAACAAGAAAAATGAGTGGAGGATTTTGTAGCATTTGTTACAGTGAAACCCCATTAACACGGACACTGAGGGGGCCATCGAAACTGTCCATATTAAGTGGGTTGAATTTAGGGAGGCTGTAAGGACTAGGGACAAGGAAAACTGTCTGTAACAATGAGGTGTCTGTATTAAGTGGGCGTCTGTAAAGCGGAGCTCAACTGTATTGGCAAAAAGGAAATTGTACATACACTGTTCAAAGGATTTTGTAGTATTTGTTATTTGCAAACAGGAAATTGTACAGACATTGAAGCATTGCCCTCAAATAATATTGAGTAGCACCAACAAGTCCATGAGGAAATCACATAATTTTAATTTTCAGTGGGCAAAACCCTTCTACCAGAATGATTTCAAGCATATTGCATTCTTTTTTACACTTTTTGAGGGCTATAAATGTGATAAGTTATACGAAAAACTTCAAAAGCTTTAACTTTCACTAAATAAAATCTAATGCATGGCGTTTTTACAAATTTACCTGCGTTTTCTCAATTCCTGTGAACTTTGAAATCTATTTTCTCCACCTCCCATATTAAGAAATTGTCTTTGGTGTTATTACAGATAACTAATTCCATCTATAGCCCTTGAAAAGTGTAAAAAAGAATGCGATATGGCCTAAAATATTGTGATGCAAGGTTTGTTTTCCACTGAAAATTAAAAAGGCCCTCAATTTCCTGGTGGATTCCATCTTTATCTGTGGGGCTTTATTGACAAAATACAGTACTTGTTGTCTACCAGTTCATACATACATGTAGAAGTGTAGTACAGACAAACTGGGGTTTCAAAAAAGTCAGTGAACATTAAGATCTTGATTTCAAGTGAGCCAAATACTGTAATTATTATTGCTGAAAGGCATGTACATGTTGTGGTTCAATTTTGTCCTTGGTTTAATATTTTTTTCTTTTGTTTTTGGGTATGATAACAAATGAAGGTTGAAACCAAGGAAAATGAAAATGAAACCAAGCATAAAATTGAACTGCACCATACACATGATGACAGAAAAAACATCTTCATTGCAGGGAAAGCCATAACAATGTCTTTAATTAATATTAAGTGAAAATGTCCTTCCTGTTTGATGGATTGTCGACAAGATTTTGTATTCTCTTGCAATACCCTGCTTGAGGACCTTCCTTTCACCATGAGAATTTGAAAAAAAGTTTTAATCTTTTAACAATAGACCTTGTCACGTTTCTCGATGCCATCTTGACGAGTAGGTAAATGCGTGAGAAATTACAGTGTTTGTATGAGAATCTTATGAAAAAAATATGAATTGTTAACTAAAGCTTCACTCCTAAGGATTCTACTGAAAAAATTGAGGGTGTTACATGCACCGGAAGACCTAGAACCACTTTTTAAATTTCTATACATTCTATACATTTGTCAGCGAGAGAGTCCCGGGAAAAATTACGGGCAAATAGATGAAAAATCTAAATCAAGCTTCTGGAGAAATTTTAGCACAGGTATGCCCCCAAAATTTTTTCAGTACAATCCTTTTCTTTGTAGCCTTAAGTTTACAATTCATATGATATGATACTGAGAATATCACTATTTTGTGCAGTTTATAAGCCGATCACATAAAAAATTTCGAGCTCTGCGACACGCTACTGTATCATTTTTTGCAGTAACAGGCCCAGACATTGTAAAACAGATAGAAACTTTGAGCCACGTGCTTTCACAGGTACAGGTCGTTACAAGTTTAATCAATTTACTATTTGGTCGATACTTGGCTAACAATGATTTTCTTATCATCACTTATAGCCTATAAAACAGACGATTTGCAAATATGGATTTCTTTACCTTGGAAAACGATGAGAAATTATCAGAAGTTCCCCGCTCCTGCAGTCGCCATCTTGCTTTTTGAGACTTCAGGCTAGCTGGTCAGTTAGGTACTTCATATATGATAAACTATTTTTACCCCACTCGCCCCAGGGCCTTCTGGTTAATTTTTTTTAAAAAAGACGAATCACGACGGTATGTAATTGTTTCGCCCGAAGTCACTTCGCTTAGAAAAAAACGGGAATAAGCGCGAAGCCAGGCTAGGGACACCCCTTCCAATGACATACCACAAGCAAAAAACTCGACGACTGACGCAGCGATCGCCATGATATCTGTGGCAGACTTCGGTTTCATCTTCAGGAACAAGTGTCGTTTTTCATCGGCATCGGCATAGACCCCTTTACGGTTGCGAGGGCATGCTGGGTAATCAGGACAAGATGGTGGAAACATCAAAATTTTGTATGAGAAAAGGAAGTCATTTAATTCTTGCTAATTGTTTATATTTGTCACTTTCCCTTTGAAAAACTAATGAGCTTAAAGAAACTATACACTAAATCTGGAGTGCATAACAGTCCTTTGTTGCTTTTTAGAAAACCTGAGTTCTTCCATACATTTTCTGTAATCCGACAACACAAAAAAATTTCTAAAAAGGACTGCTGTGCACTCCGCATTTAGTGTATTTGTCTTTAAGTTCATAAATAGAAAGTTACAAACATATTCAAACCGGAAGAATTAGTTGACTTTGAATTCCCATAAAAACTTTTGAATTCCCCGCCATCTTGTCTTGATTACCCAGCATGCCCTCACAACCGTAAAGGGGTCTATTTGTGATCGTTAAGACACTGATAATATCCGATAATATCCACCAAGACTTTCGTACATTATGCTTTTGTTTCCCCACTAAAATGCTAGTTCTTCCCCAAAAAGTCACTAAAATACTCTGATGAAATCAATTCTGTGCGTTTTAAGAGGTTCAAGGATAACAAAAACATATGTTAAGTGATCTGACAATAACGTATAAGTTAATAGCTTTTTATGTAGCAAACAAAGGTTCTTCTACACGGCTGTATTAAGAAAAATTTGAATAACTTTTCTTTTTCTTTTTGAATTTCGAGTTGAAGTCGCTCTTCTCTCATAAAAAAAAATGTTTCAATTTTTTTTTGCAATAAAAAAACATAACTTTCCAGGAAAATGCCACTAAAATACTCAAATGATGCTTAATACTTTTGCCTTACTGATGATGCTCGCAAAAGTGTTGGCATAATGTACAAAATTAAAAACTACTCCCATCAACGCTCTCTCATGGCGGGGTGAAGGCATTGCCCTTAGGGACGGACCGTTAGAAAACTTATGTGGGGGGGAGGGGAGCGTTTGCGAAGTACAAAAAAAAATATTCGCGCAAGGGAAAATTAAATGAAAAAAAATTCATGCACGCCAATTAACCCTAAAAAATATTCATGCTACAGTCTAAAAAAAATTCATACAAGGAATTTGATAACGAAAAAAAATTCCTGCGTCTCGAAAATTCCCCCCCGCCCCATAACTTTTATAATGGTCCGTCCCTTAATATATCATGATTGGTTACTTGCGCATGCAGTGGCGGGCCGCGGCCGCTTAACTTTGATCGTGCCCATCGGATGGTTTACTAACGTGAGACAGTCTTCGCGCTGTGATTAATGGGAAGGATTTAGTGAGTTCGCCGTGCATGCGCTTCAGGGGAAGAAAAAACGATAAACGCCTCCTTCCCAAACGCCTTTGCACGCGACAATTTGCCTTCCATATTCCTTTGCGAGAATGAATAAGTGACGACTGGGTACGAGTCTGAACGTGAGACATACAGCGGCTGGCCTCGGCAATCATCAGCAGTTTTTACGTTAATTTTTAATACAATGATCCACCGTTACCACCGCAAAAATGTGATGGTCTTTAAATTACAGTAACCTTGGTGTGGCCATTGGAGGGAATTCTTACAGGAAATGTCCGTTTGTTCAATGAAACGCAAGTGATTGCAATCAAAAAATGTATACTGGGAGATAATTTAATAAAAGGCGAAGGAATAAAAAAAATGATGAAAATCCGAAACCACACTTGCCTGGCTCGCTCTCTTTAAAGGGTAAGTTCTTACTTCCTTGTCTAGGAAATTTTTCTCTGATTTAAGGATCGCATCCGCGGACAAGCTGAAAGCCGCGGTTTGCAAGCTCTATTAGCTAATCTGTGAACCGTTTTCATTTTTTGTCGAAAAAAAAAAAAACTGGAGAAGGTCGAGAAGGGCCTTTCCTAAGGTCAAAGGTCACTCTCCCATTTAGTCTGACCTGCAGTGTCGATTTCTTCATGCTCAGTCCCCACATTTGGGCTGCTTTTCTAGCACTAATTCCTCCTTCTCTCCCACCTCTCAATCCCTTTGAGACATTTTTCAGACCGTTGCAACCCCATTCTACCAGTCACAACTCGGGTGATTTCTTCATGCTCAGTCCCCACATTTGGGCTGCTTTTCTAGCACTAATTCCTCCTTCTCTCCCACCTCTCAATCCCTTTGAGACATTTTTCAGACCGTTGCAACCCCATTCTACCAGTCACAACTCGGGGATTTGTATGAGAATTCCCGGTTTAACTTCGACGCTTCCGGTTGTATACAGAAAATGTAGTCACGCGAAACAAGCCGTGCATACGAAATCAATATGTCTCTGAATGAGTGAAGAAAATTTTCCATAAGGAGTTGAGTCAGAATTACATTACACTACACTATGTTATATATCCCAAGCTTTAATTATAGTTACAGTTGTGAAATAAATCTTGTATGGATAATGTACGCACCTAATGCATCGATTCTGCACGGCAAAGAAAAAACTGGCCGGATAGTGGTCACCTAACATCAATACTTAGTGAATGTTTCTGACAACCTGATCATGACTTCTTTTAAGTATCTTCACTTTAAATATAAACAGTTTCTTTGAAAATATCAAATATTACCAACCCTTATTTGAACAGCACTAGTTTTACCGCGCAGTAAACAGCGTAAAAAATAGCCAAGAAAAGTTTACTCACCTGAACAGAATGGCGCCTTTTGCAACTGTGTCTCAAGTTGTAAACCCGCTCAAACTTGCATTTTAAATTTGAAATGTTCAGCTTCCATTCGAAGTACTCTTTTACCGAAAACTAAAAAGTGCGCTGCAAAATTGAGTTTTTGTTTTAAGTGGCCGGATACTGGTGCCGGCTGGATACTGAGCAACATACTGTAACGTAATTTTTCTTTCAATTTTCCTTGTACACACAACGAGGAGGAGGTCTATTGGTTTTTCCCAACAATTTTTGCATTTAAATTAGCTTAGGTCCACTTTTAAATATCCATTGGAGGCTGTGCACCCATTGAGTGCAAACGATATGATACTTTTTCTCTTCAATAATGTCGCTGATGTAGATCCCTTTGTCTGCAAGAAACTTGGCCATTTTATTTTTCTGGCCTTCGAAAAACGTGAAGTAGATCATTAAACATAGCTACAATATAGTTGGCATTTTCCGTGCAATTTTAGCCATTATTATTATTATTTACAATGATAAATGCTACTTTCTTTTTTTTTTTTTGCTTTACCTTGACATAATTAATATTGTAATCGGCAACGCCATCTACTCATGGAAATACCAATAAATGTTGTTGTTGTTGTTTTCAATTCATCCATTCGTATTTTACTGTCAGTATTGAACCCGAGGGTTAAATAAGAATGAAGCAAAGAAAAAAAACTAATAACTTAGAAGCTCCACAAAACGGCCAGTAAGTCAGTAAGTCCATACATATAGCGCATCTTCGATCAGTTCTTGTTCCTTTCTTTCCTTCATGCAGTTGTAACTTTTCGAACAACAAAGAAGTGGTTTTATCAGCCAAAAAAAATAATAAGAAAAAAATGCTACCAGAGAACAAAAAATCACTATGATCTTTTCCCCCTACATAAAGAAATGAACTGACTGTACTTCCGAACAGAGAAACTGATGATGGTCCCACTATGCTCAGTCAAGGCGCGTTATGTTTGTTTGAATTCCCATGCATCAGGTGCATCCAACTCGTTAGGGGTATAATCATTGGACTTAAAGCCTGGCTATATTAACTAGCTATAGCGACACACTACGAGCCCAGGCATAGGTACTGTAAATTGACCAAGCTCAAGCAAAAATCAAGAATATTTTGCAATTATATTATTTAGTCGTTTCTGACAGTAGTGACTTAGTGTTAATGATTGCACCTGAAACACTAAGACCATTTCTCACACCTCTGCTTGCTTTTATACTCGCGTAGCTTTAGCCTTGAGTAGCATTTTGAATCAAATATTGGAAGGACTTCAAAAAGCTTACTAATACTAACTGAGGAGGGTCAGGCACAAAGAAAAGGACTGAAAAATTACTTACAGATGGTTGGAAGAGATATTTACAGATATAGTTAGTGGAAAAAAGTTAGACTAAATGTGATTTATTACAGCAACTTTCTTTAAATCTTGAGATTATAGAGGATGAGTCATCCTAGTCATCCTCCAGCGACAAATACTGAAGATTTGTTGATGAGTTGCCTGTCTGGATAATGAGCGAATAGTTAGTCATAATGGTGTGTACTAGAGGCTAGAGTGTACGTAGTTAGATAATTAAACTATCAAGCCTTGAATCTATTTTAACTTGTTCTTTGTAATACTGTGTAAATTTCTTTTTGTTTTATTTTGACATCCCCCCCCCCCCTCTCGACAAGTTATCAGCTATAACTGCAGGTTGCCAAAATATGTAGCCTGACTTAGAACTAAAATTATTGCTGTTCTTATTGTTGCTGTCTTTGGATGATTACTGAAATTCAGAAGTCTTTTATCTCTATTTATTCTATTTACTATTTACTTCACCCCAACCCAGTTCCGTACCCGCATTTTTGTTTGCTTTTCAACGCGTATACTCGCCTTTTTTTCAGTATTTATCTTTTTGTACCGATCTTTGAGAAAAGTAGCAAACGCCACAGGCGAAACTAAACCCGGCTACTAGCCGGGCGTGGTTTGATGACGTTTGTGACGCAGGCTAGAACAGAGCAACGTGTAAACGCTCTTGGACTCGTTGCCCAGGGAGTATAGTACATCGAAGTTATCTATGACATCATTTACTTCAAAATTGTATCATCGTCATCTTACAGATCTTACGCAATATTCACTCATGAAAGTTAATCCAAATAAGAACCATCGAAGCGCAAAAAAAAATTGACCCATTTCAAGAGACTGAAAATTGAAAAGGACCCTCAAAACGGCCCCATTTTATTTTTAACTGGCAATAAAAACCTGGAAAAACTAGCAATCTTTCCCCGGGAAACGTCTGATAAATAATTTTCATTAAAGGGTGTTATATATATTAGAATTAAACTATTGAAATAAAAGAAAGAAAGAAAGACAGAAAGAAAGAAAGGAAAGACGACGAAAGAAATAATCATGGTAGTTTTGAATTAAGCAATGAAGTTTTAAGTAACTGCGATAAATACAGTTGGAAAAAAGCCAGTGTTGTTTTGAAAGGAATGTAGTAGGTTTCAGCCCAACTGCATTCCATTTTGATGAAACCGTTATGTCTGTTTAAACACTGTTTACTGTAAAAACTGAACGTCTACCACGACTATAAGTGCAGGGTAGAAATAAAGTAAATAATCTTATTACGAAAACCCAGCTGTCCACTGATCGACTTTGTTTAAGTTTAAGGGGCCTGTTGTATTCAATGCAGTCTCGCTAAGTTTAACTATTTCCCTGGGAGTACTATTTGAAAAGAACGATACAACTTTTACAAAAAATGGCAATATATTCGTCATTTACATCATTTAAATTGGCAACAACAGCGAGCTTTATCAATCAATGGCCAGTGCTGTATTCACGCACACTTCTTTTCTTAAATTAAAACTCTTCTTAAATTAAAATTTAAGCTAGGCGAGTGAGACATTGTCGGGACGCATATACTGTTGTTACATTTTGTATGAAAAAGAGGAGATGACGCGACGGACATCCTAATAATTACCAATTTCATTGTTTTTTATTCAGAGAGATAAAGGACAACCGCAGACGTTCACCAAGGAATGTCTGATTATGGATAGGAATTTCCATTAAATGCTGTTTTAGTTTTTGGTAAAGTAAAAGGTTCAAATAAAATGAAAGAAAAAAGAAAGAAGGACAAATAATCATCATCGTTGTAAACGCAATCAAATGCCGAGGCAACAGCGAGTAAAAATTTTGAAACCAATAGGGCGGGTGATGGAATTAGTGCATTGTAGGCAAGTTAAACGAGGGGGAAATTTTTGTTAAAACCATTTCTATCGTTCTTTTCTACTGTTCTGTAATGTTTTCTGCGTAAAATATTACCAAGCTAGCAGTAAGTGCAGACTAGGTCCCGCCCTCAAAAAGGAACAAAACAAAATAAACTAAAAAGAACATCCTCTTAAAACACATGGCTAGGTTTAACTTAACAGCGGCTTCATTGCTGAATAATCGGCCCCAGAGTTTCTAGGGGATCCTGTTGAGTTACCGTTACACGATTAATAAATTAGAAATAAGTCGCTTCTGCAAGGTAGAGCCTTTCAGAAAGCGATACTCAAATTCTTAGTGTTTTCTAGGTTCTATCAAACAAACAAAAAAAGAGGAGAGTAATTAGTATACTCTTATCGGGGAAACGTTTATCAATAATAAGAATTTTAATTAATTAAAGACTGGCTGGCCTTGTCAAAAAAGGTGTTCTTTGAAACGTTTTGAGCTCAAACAATTGGAAAACACTAAAGAATTTAGAATTATTAAGGGCGATAACTGCCAATAAAAAGGCCTACCCTAAGTAGTAGCCACACTTTTTACTTTACTGAGTTGTCCATACCATCCGAAGAGAGCAAGGTGAGAAAACGGTAAGTTAGATCTAAGAGTAACTGGTTATAAAAGAATGTTTACTTTTTAAGAGTGATATCAAGACCTGTTGAAAGAGTTTCTCCCGAATATTCTTGCAAAGTCTTACAGTTAAAGTTGTGAATCTCTGAAAAGGGAATGACGATACCAAAAAACAACCTTCCTGCCAAAGGGGCGGTAACGTTACGAAGATGGTTTATCAATGGAAAGCCAAAAGTGCCGCCTGGTTTCACCGGCAATCACTGATCAGTTGTTCCAGCCCAGTCACATTTACACTGCCGCCAGGTTAGCTCAGTTGCGACAGCACCGGTCTGCCGAGCAGGAGGTCGTGGGTTCAAACCCCGTCCGTACCCGCCAACAACTATAATAGTCTTTAAAATTGGTTAGATCCTACAGGCTGTGATTTGAGATCTTGTCTCAGTTAAGATGATCGCGTCATTTGGCGGTCACGTTCAGCTGTTGGCCTTGTCTACTCAGTTCATCCTTCCTTCATTAGTCAATCCAAAAGGGACGTAAAAGTTCAAAAAGAGTAGGGGAACGCTCCCCGGTAGTGGGTCTGCCTGTCACGTATTATCCATATCATAGGCTATGGGTGGGTTACAGTCATAAATCAGTTGACTTGGAGGAAGTGAAATGTTAGTTGCGGCTAGGCCTTGCTTTGACTAGTGTATTTTTTATTTCCCCACCATGCCAATTAAATGCACATTTCTTCAATGCTTTTCAATAGGTATTCATCTTTATCTTACAGGTTGCAGAGAGAAATAAACATGCTGTATCAACTGTTTATCGTTTTGATAGCAGCCGGAGCTGTGCATGCGCAACTGCTGGGATATGTAAGAATTGACAATATAACTGAATAATGTACTGACTCCTCGTTACTCGACGCAGTTAAAAAAACTGAGGCCAACCTCCGTTGCCCTTCTATATTTCTATACACGTATTTTCAAATCTTCCTTAAAAAAATTAAAAATTGGCGTCTGTGCAACATTACATCACTTTAAGAGCACGACGAGAATTAAGTTGATGTCCTAGTCCAACATAAAAAATCGGTATATTCATTCCATTGTTGATATTGCGGTTTTCTTTCTCTAGCTAGACTCGCGTATCTTAAGTTTTTTGTTTATCATTAATTCTATATATTTTGTATTACATTTTAATTATTCATGCTTCTGATTACAATNCGGTCTGCCGAGCAGGAGGTCGTGGGTTCAAACCCCGTCCGTACCCGCCAACAACTATAATAGTCTTTAAAATTGGTTAGATCCTACAGGCTGTGATTTGAGATCTTGTCTCAGTTAAGATGATCGCGTCATTTGGCGGTCACGTTCAGCTGTTGGCCTTGTCTACTCAGTTCATCCTTCCTTCATTAGTCAATCCAAAAGGGACGTAAAAGTTCAAAAAGAGTAGGGGAACGCTCCCCGGTAGTGGGTCTGCCTGTCACGTATTATCCATATCATAGGCTATGGGTGGGTTACAGTCATAAATCAGTTGACTTGGAGGAAGTGAAATGTTAGTTGCGGCTAGGCCTTGCTTTGACTAGTGTATTTTTTATTTCCCCACCATGCCAATTAAATGCACATTTCTTCAATGCTTTTCAATAGGTATTCATCTTTATCTTACAGGTTGCAGAGAGAAATAAACATGCTGTATCAACTGTTTATCGTTTTGATAGCAGCCGGAGCTGTGCATGCGCAACTGCTGGGATATGTAAGAATTGACAATATAACTGAATAATGTACTGACTCCTCGTTACTCGACGCAGTTAAAAAAACTGAGGCCAACCTCCGTTGCCCTTCTATATTTCTATACACGTATTTTCAAATCTTCCTTAAAAAAATTAAAAATTGGCGTCTGTGCAACATTACATCACTTTAAGAGCACGACGAGAATTAAGTTGATGTCCTAGTCCAACATAAAAAATCGGTATATTCATTCCATTGTTGATATTGCGGTTTTCTTTCTCTAGCTAGACTCGCGTATCTGAAGTTTTTTGTTTATCATTAATTCTATATATTTTGTATTACATTTTAATTATTCATGCTTCTGATTACAATAAGTAGCCGGACTTATAATTCCATTATATGAACATCCCCACCCGCATACCAGCCCACCCTCCTACACTGGACATTGCTACTTGTGTGACATTTTTGCTTTGATATCCTCGAAAAAATACACCTAAACTCGCCATAAATATTATAAAAGGGGGAATTAATAATAATAATAATAATAATAATAATAAAGTATTTATCCAGGATAATTTCATCTGCCGCTCTCAATGCAGGTCCTGCTACTGATTGGTATTTATTTATGTGTGCCCAAGCTCTTTGCATTAGTGAGCGCGTAAATCATTAATTTATTAATCCCGTTTTCATACACAGCAAGCTACTGGCCAAGCTTCTGCTAGAAAAAGAGATCAAAAGCAGTTTGGGGCAAACATTGGTACGTAAGGATGAACTTACTAAACCCAAGGAATTTTTCCTGTTTTTATACAGAAAGGGTTCAAAATGTTCATTGATTTAAAATAAAATTGAATTGGGAGGATTGCAAATTTCGTTTTGCAGCCACCTAGAATTCCGGAATATCTTTTGGTGCGTTCGAGATTTTAGAGTGCGTCTATCAGCCTCCGGCGTGTCTCCCCCGACATCGCTCATTCGCTGATGGCATAATACAAGAAATTCCTCGCTACCGTCAACCCTATTGTCAATGCTGAAACACTAAGAAGTTCTCAGCTTTTTTCAAGGACCCAAGTTTATTCACTTGGCAACGAAGTCATCAACTCTCAATCCCTTTCCTCCTTTGAGAAAACACTAACACTAAAGACCACTAAAAGGGTCAAATTATAAAAGTTAACTCTGAAAACCGATCTTAAATCTTTTGTACCCTTGACTTTACGCCATCTTGTTTCAATTGACGTAAACAGCTGTAGCCCGTAGTTCGAGGAGGCCAAACCTCTCTTAAGCTCCTACAGTTTCTGTTAGGTCTCCTCGCCACTTCTTTTTCCTACTTTAATTATCTTATACTATTTGTAATTTTAATTATTGCGCGGCAAATAAACCAATAAGAATTTCTTGCAGAATTGGGACCCTTTGAACTGGATGGGCAACAAGGCGTGGAGATGAGAGGCAATAAAATGGTTGTTAGTCAGACTGGGGTATATTATGTGTACGGACAAGTCCATTACATCCATCTTAACGCTAAAGGCCAACTCTACAACCGCTGCATTCTCTACGTGAACAACAAGCCTTTTCGGTATCTTCAGAAGGGTATGGATGGCCGGGCTGATATTGGCAATGTTTATTCAGGTGGGCTGATTCATCTACGATCAGGCGATACCATCAGTCTCAAGACCCAGCAACCATCAAGAATCAACTTGGACCCCAGGGTGACTTTCTTTGGCGCTTTCAGGGTTGGGTATAATTGTGAAGAATGCAGCGTTGTCGTTCCAGATGTTAAAAGTTATTACAATAAATACTCGGGCTAGGACAACGTAGGTCGGGTTTAAAGATGTAATACTTACTAGAAAACTGGATTGAACCGTTGAGAATATCACTGTAGACAAATTTACATGTTAGTCGAATAAACTGATGTTTTAAGTATATTATCGTATTTTAGTTATTTGCTATCTAATCGTTAGCAAGGGCTTAAGCTTAGCCGGCATGCGTTCATTCCTTTCTCGAGACAGTGCTATCCACCGTATAAATTACTATCCAATGCTTTTGGCCGGGGTATAGGGCAAACCAATTGTGGTGGTCAGTGTTAAACGAGTAGCAGGTGACGCGAAACGAGAAAGTGGATGCCTGCTAACTTCAGCAGAAAATAAGTAGTAAAGATAAGAAATAAGTATCAAACTAATACGCAGTGTTATCCTCTAACTTTATTGTTTTAAGTTTCATTGATCGTAAATATTTGGCAAACCCTGTGTCTCCTGTCTAAAAATGAGCATACTCCAAAATGGCTGCATGCTGCGCGAAAAAGGGAATAATTCTAAAACGATACAACAGTGCAAAGCCGAGCCAAGCCAAGAACACGGCTTGTCGGGCATCCCCATGCACGAAAACAGATACTAGTAAGTCCCTAGAGTTGGCCATTACGGGGGTGATGGAGGGAGCTTCTCACGGTACTTAAATGAATAGACTGATTTAGTGTTTAAGACCTCTAATTCTATTCAGAACACTCAAAAAGAGGCCTGTTAAAGACCACAGCCTATTAGCTTTAAAAAATTTGTCGAGATCAGTGATACCAAGAGATCAGTCAAATCTGAGATCAGTCGGTGATAAATAGAGGATCAGTCGTGATATATAGAAAACTTCATTGCACGCCCCCGTCCATTTGACCAAGGGCTTAATGAAAAATGTGCCAAATCTCGCCGCTTCCGTCGCCCAAATCTTACGACCGAAAATTCGTGGTTCAATACGCTCGATCAATGAGTGCAATAAAATAAAAGCACCTCTATCAGGGCCTGCACGAAGAAGGCCTAATGACTACTACTTTTCCTTTAATCCTATGCCTAAGTTTAGACCACTTATATACATCTCCTTTTCTATTTATACAAGATTTAGACATGCTAAGGACTTCTATGTCCGTCACATACTCTGGCCAGAAGTTGAAATCCGCCAGTTCACCAACAAATGATCGTTTTGAATCGAAGTTCTTTTCTCGTGTTTGTTCTTGGCCAATGAACAACTTTCCTCCCGGACGAATATTATAACCAACCTGAAAACCTATTTCATTATCCACTACCACTGACCCATCCTTGAAGATCGCCCATTGTCCTTCAGCGTTTTCCCAAGCTACACAAATGTGGTGCCAGTGGCCATCGTTGACTGAATTTACAATAATATTTCTGTTGGATGTGATGTAAATAAAGAAATTAAGTTAGGTCGTATCGAAGGGAAGAATAAATTTGAAAAATGAACACTGGAAGGATTTTCTTTGGAAAGAGATATTAATAATAGTATTAATAATCAGGGCTTGTATAGACAGCCTTTCAAGGAAATATTCTGAGTTTTTGTTGACATCGGCAGACGTGCACTACAACAACTCAAGGTCTCAGCCCAAATCTTTCATTTAAGGTTTATCTGTAAACATGTTTCTAACAATGGTACATAATAGCAATAATTGTGAACATTAACTGCAAAGGACCGCAAACGAATATGCCGCAGAACGGAATTTCTAAAGAAGATCTGATCAGCAAAATATACCGAGTAGACACAATATATTGAATTCTGCAATGCTGATCGTACTACGTGAGAATTAAGTTTTCAAGACATCAGCATAGAACCCAAAACAGAGTGGGGTGGTAGCCGCCAACAGCTGTTTCGCCGTTATTGTGACTCGTCAGGATGGCGTAACAACAGACAGCACAGAAAATCTCTGCTGAGAAATCAAATGATAATAATAAAAAATAAAAATGCACTTTGTTTGAGTGTCAATGTGTTGCACTAATTGGGGACACCATATTTTACGTCTCCAACTGGAGACGGGACCGCCATTTTACGTGGTCATCCGAGCCACGCGAAGGTCTAGCCTGTTGCAGTGCAAAGGAAATACCTTCATTTCTCAGTTATTGTAAGACCCTGAGTATTGGTCCGGCCCCGGGAATCGAACCTGCGACCTACCGCTCTGCAGTCAGGGGCACCCAACGAGGATATAGTTCAAAACCACTTAACATAGCATTGTTGAACGTATTTTAGTATTCAAACGGTAGATATAGGCATATTTTTATCCCCTAAAAACTTTTCATCTGTTCGGATTTCCTAGCTGAAAATCTAGTGATTCGAAAATTATAGGGATAAAAACTTACCTTCTCGAAAATTTCAGCCAGGAAAAGGCTCCCGAAAATTCTAGGTGGCCTTTTTTAGGGTCAAAATCCGTTAAAAATGAGTAATTATACTATTTTGTAGACGTTCGAAAATCCTATGAGAGGCAGGCAAGTAAGAAATTTTACAACAAATGCCTCGAAAATTCTAGATCTCAAATCGTCTTCCGAACAGATCTTTTCCCGAAAATTGCCGTTGGGTGCCCCTGTGCAGTTTTACACGTTCTACCGACTGAGTTAACAATGTCGCGGTTCAACATCCGCTCACTCTGTTTTAAGCCCTAACATTGAACACTAACACCCACCAAATCACGCTGCCCATATCACGTGTCTCCGGAGGGCAAGAGTACAAGTGTTCAGTGGCCTCTTCCAGGCGTTCAGATGGTGGGGACGGCGCAAAGAAATGTGAGCAGAGAAAAAAAAACAACCTCTTTTCCACCTTATTTTTTTTCTCGCTCTCTTCCTTTCGCGCCGCACTCCACTATCCGAACGCCTGGAACAGGCTAACAAGTGTTGCGTTGATGTCTCGCAAAGAAAATGTATAGGATGGGCAAAACCAACCTAAAAAACATGGACAAAACCATGCAAAATGCACAGTAAATCGGATCTATTAATTTTTATAGATCAAAAGGTCTAGGGCCCCACAAAAACAAAAAGTGAACAGCAACAATAATAATATCGATAATAGCAATAACGATCATCATCATCATCATTTCTGCGTAGTATCGTGTGAATATTAGTGTCTAGCTGTAAGGGCAACACAAATCTCCTTAATAGGGAAATGGATTTTGCGCAATGGGTAGGAAATAGTATGAACGTTGGTCCCTCCCTGATAAAAGCGAGTTGTCTATAACAGACGCAACATAGGCTCTCAATGGTTTCTCATTGTCGGGTCTCACAAAACAGGGCCAGAATTGTTCGTCGGAAAATACACCTGTGCATGTATAGCAGTTAAAACATGTTGTCTGTAAAAATGGTAAACTCTTTTCTTTTGGAATGGTCGGTACCCACCTCTGTTCTTTTGCTTGGGCTAATGGATCATGTAATAACCTTTCTTTTTCTTTGTAAGTCCTTTACATCAAAGACCTTAATAACGATTTACCAATGAGAAAATATATTCTCATGGCTTGGCTCAGTCAGTCTTGTTTTCGGTTTTGTTGTTTAATAAAACCTCTGCAAATTGTGCCTAAGCAGTCTTCTTACTTGGATTGTTCGCCCACAGTAAGCTTTAGGTAGTTGGTGTCATAGATTTCCAGCAACATTTCCGTTTTTCCTCTGGTTCCTCTGTAACTGAACACTGATATATGGTTTAATGTGGCCTTTACCCAGAAGCACACGCTTAGTTTGGTGAATTCCTGGTTTATTCGACGACCTTCAACGTAGTTTTTAACTGACTGTGGTGAGGGAAATAGCAAGCTGAAATCTGACATGGAAGAAAAAAAATGTCATTTTATTGCAAGACGTTGTTTGTTGGCATTTTTAGTACTATTCTTTACTCGTCAGGGTAAAGCTTGAAAACAAAGTTTTAAAGTGAATAATGAATGTCCATCCTCGTCCCCAGGGCTTTTGCGGTAGAGGATCAGCGAAAGGCCTTTGTAGCGGCTGGTCACTACTTACCTGCGTGTGACTCATGATCGTGCACCGAAGACTCGCAAATTTCTGTTCCCTGAAAGAATTCGGAATTTCAAAAAATCATAAGTTTACACCCTTGAAATTAAATCCCCGCCAGGTGTCGACTTTACAATTACTTTACTAGGCATCTTACTGATAATAACCTGGCCATGCTAACTTTAAATCAGGATTGTTGTCAGCCATGAGCGGATTTAGGTGAGGGCCGAGGGGGCCGCGACAAACCCTTTTCCTTTGAAATTTTGTACTATTTTTATAGAATTCCGTCTCAAAAAAATAAAAAATATCTAGAATAGAGCTGTTAAGCCGTGTCCTGACTTTCCCTTTCTGAATTTTCTCGATCCGACCCTGTCAACCGAAACATTTTTAATGACGCAGCAAAATTAAGTAGCATATTGACAAACAACGAAATCAAAACTTTAATTACAGCTGGAACATTTATATTCTTAATTTTAAAGATTGCATCATATGTTTTGAGGACGGAAAGCAAATTTCAGACCTTGGGATCGTTAATGCTATCCAAAATAGCTTTGCCATATCGGCGTTGCGGGAAATAAATTACTATATAACAATAAAATAATCTTTCTCACCCCTGTTGGCACTATCTGTTGGAATATTGATCCAGTAGAAAACACAAGGCCTTCAGTGTTGCAGAAATCTTCCAAACCACAGTCGATCATTTGACACTGGCCCAGGCCGTTTAATAAGCGAACAAAATTATATGAAGAGCAATTTGGATCATCTTGGCAAGACTGGATGCAGTTGATCCAGTCTATGTCGTATAAAGAGCGGTAGACATGTCCGACTAAAGCTCGGTTTGGAACAGTTATTGGTTGAAAAGCAATAGACGATGTCCATAGTACAAGGAACGTCAAAATAAGGGGCATTTTACAAGAAATTGCAAAATGGCCTTAAACGTGAGCCAAATGTGTTATTTCTTCGGAACAAAACTCAGTTCAGTTTTTGTCGCGAAAAAGCGAACTTGACTCGTCGGCTTTGATCATTCTTCGGTTAAAAGTGTCAGTGCAGTTCTCAGATAGCTAATGTTCAAGGCTGCCTAAATATTTTCGATGTCGTTTAGGTGCCCGTCAAATTCTTTGATTGAGGGCATTATGATGATGATACATACAGAATACGACTGAAATACAAAATAAACAAAGGACGCCACAGCGCTTTTAAAAAGGCAACTGTGTCAACCTTCATTTGCGACCGGCAAAAAGTCATTGATTAAAATTGCATGGAAGACATATACAAACTGGGATACAGAGGGTACTTTAAGCAGTTCTCAACATTTGATGTAGTAAATTTTAAAAATTTACAGCCTCTGTATTTATAATTCTCTGTAATTCTAACCTTGATAGGCTGAGGCCTGACGCCGATAAAAAAAAAGAATTCACTGATACCTGGGCATTAGAGACTTAAAAGCTTTAAACTTAATTTGAACAAACCACGCTATGACATAAACCTAGCACTAAAAAAATAATAGAGAAGGGTAACTTACGACAAATGGATTTTTCAGTTAAAAACCTACTACCTCGGAGAGGAGTTTTTATCATTAGCTTTTCTTATTTTCTTATTGTCTTTAACAAGTACGTAATAATTGTCTTGCCTTTGCTCAGATGATCCATTTTCAGTTATAATTGAAACAAAAATCCAAGCACCGTCAAAGATTTAACTAAAGCTGCCAAATATCAAGCTAGACTTGAAGTTAAAAAAGCGATGTTTTTGCAGCTGGCTGACTGCAAAAACTCTTTATTTGGGTAATACAGGTGGGTGCAGTTTTTAAGCAAGGGCCATATTTACCTTTTTCATGAAGTGAGAATTTATTCACAGAAGTTCTATTGAATTTTAAAGAGATAACTATTGCGAAATTCACTAGAGGTTGAATTTAACCTTCGAAGTCCCAATCTCTTAAAGCACTGGCGTGGGTGGCATGAAATAAGCTGAACAAGGTCTGGTACTCTAGCCTGGCCAATAAGTCAAAGCTCTACGTGTTCAACACCCTGCACTGAATGAACCAACCTTGCTCTTATATGGATCTGAAACTCGACACTGACCTCACGGCAACGGAGGGAACATATAACTAACGTCCTCCGAGACGTCCAAAATATCCACTGGTCAAGTGAACAAATTTGCAACGTGTGAGCAGAATTTACGGCAAAATTGAAGCTACTACCTGTCTCCCAACAGGGGCACCCAACGGCAATTTTCGGGAAAATATCTGTTCGGAAGACGATTTGAGATCTAGAGTTTTCGGAGCATTTGTTGTAAAATTTCTTGCTTGCCTGCCTTCTAGGATTTTCGAACATCGACAAAATGGTATAATTACCCATTTTTAACGGATTTTGACCCTAAAAAAAGGCCACCTAGAATTTTCGGGAGCCTTCTCCTGGCTGAAATTTTCGAGAAGGTAAGTTTTTATCNCACCCAACGGCAATTTTCGGGAAAATATCTGTTCGGAAGACGATTTGAGATCTAGAGTTTTCGGAGCATTTGTTGTAAAATTTCTTGCTTGCCTGCCTTCTAGGATTTTCGAACATCGACAAAATGGTATAATTACCCATTTTTAACGGATTTTGACCCTAAAAAAAGGCCACCTAGAATTTTCGGGAGCCTTCTCCTGGCTGAAATTTTCGAGAAGGTAAGTTTTTATCCCTATAATTTTCGGATCACTAGACTTTCCGCTAGGAAATCCGAACAGACGAAAAGTTTTTAGGTGATAAAAATATGCCTATATTTACCGTTTGAATACTAAAATACGTTCAACAATGCTATGTTAAGTGGTTTTGAACTATATCCTCGTTGGGTGCCCCTGTCCCAATACTGACAAAGATAAAGTACAACCTTTTGCAGGTCATGATCTTGAGGGACTCCGGAGAATTGACAGGGAGGAATGCGATGTCGCAGATGTCGGACCGGAAAGCGTGGAATGAGAGGAACTGAAGCATGACTTCATGTTACCATGGTAGCAAAATTTCTGTTGTGGTGGTTTTACTACTCTCATTTTGTAAATTGGGCGGACGAAATTAGCCAGAAAATTACCGGGGCATGTGTCTCCGGCTGCCTGGGAAAATACATTGTTCTGTCTTAACAAACCAACGACTCCTCGAACACGTCGTGTCCTCAAATATACTTCACAAATCACAGATTGGCTTTTTACTAAATAACTGCACAGCAGACCATGTCTTTACACTTCGAACCTTTATAGGAACAACATTAAGTGGGTTCATTATCACACGGAAAAGATCTATGCCTGTTTTGTGGATTTCAAAAAAGCTTTCGACTAGGCCTGGCATGTCGGCCTTCTGCATAAGTTGCTGCTGATTAAGGGCCTGTTTACATGGAGGTGGGGGACCCCAGGTAGGTGAGGTAACCCGCTTAGGTGGGATAACCCGCCTGCCCATTTAATCTCTCATATTAATTTGATCACATTTACATGACAGGTGGGGTGACCTGCCACATGTTACCTCACCTACCTGGGGTCCCCCACCTCTATGTAAACAGGCCCTTAGATTGGTGGTTGTCTTTACAACTTAATTAAAAGCTTAATATATATTTTAACTCTACATAAAAATGCTCATTAAAAAATTCCCAAGAGCAAACACGATCCTTCCATTATGTGAGAGGTGTGCAGCGAGGTTCTATCTGAAGTCCACTGCTTTTTAATCTTTATATACAGGGTGTTTCAAAAGTTCGTTCCGATTGTAAATTGTATTTTGCGCAAAGCCTTTAATGCTTCTTTAGGCAAATGTAAACTGTTTCAGGCAAGACATTTATCTAAATAACCGTTCAGAGCAATTTCAAACTAAACTTTGAATAAATTCTATTTTTTTTTTAATTTTTGTCTCAACTGTACACGTACGCGAGTTTTTTCCCGCCACACTTTTCCTGTCCATTTTGTAGGTTTTCTATTTTGGTATTTTTAACGTTTTCTTTTATTTCTCTACTCCTTCATGAAAATGAAGGTCTACAATGTTTGTGCTAGAGCTCAGGCATCTATTTTTATGGTCTTCTGGCCATTCAGTCCAAAAACATTGCAAATTATTGCAGAAGTCTGAACGATGACCGAACAAGTGGTCAAAAGTAAAGACCTTAGAAGACAAACCAAGGAGTGGATGGCCGTTTTTTCACAAACTGTGTGAGAAATATTATCGAAAAAGCTGTTAGTATATGCGTAATAATTCCACAAAACAGAAAGGTAAAAAAATTTCAACTTCACATTATCGATCAAAGTTTCGAGCACACAGAATAGGGATAAGTTACCTAAAAAAGTTGGAAAGCATTGATGAGAAAAAGGCGGTGCACACTTCATGAAAGCATGGTGTCAAAAGGATTTGTCAACTTTATACCAAAGGAGGACCGGCCGGCAAACTCACGTGATTTGAACCCCCTAGAGACTATCTGGATTTTCGAGACGAGACAACATACAAAGATCCAGCCCCCAAAACACTGGACGAGCTAAGACAGTGACTACGCTTCGCCTGGAAGAGTGTGACTTTGGACACGCTTTGGGAACTCGTACATTCTATACCTCACCGCTTAGAAAATGTCAGAAAACATACAAGAAGACATTCTGTTTACTAATATTTTAGTTATTTAATGTTAAATGAATAATGAATAACATACTAAGTTTTACAAAAGGTTTTTTGTTAATAATTAGTGAAATTTAAGCGAATAAAAAATCGGAACGAACTTTTGAAACACCCTGTAAACGACTTACCTTTCGCATTTCAAAATACATTATCTGATCTTTTTGTTTTTTCTACAGCTCTTCGTGATGTCGAAAATATTAAACTCCCAACTTGTGGTTTTTCAGAAACGAATCAGGAAAAGTTGTGAACTTCTCTTCTTCATAGATAATCAAATTATTGATGTTGTACAAGAGTACACTTACTTAGGAACTCGAAATAAATCACCTCATCAGGAAATTTCTCAGTGTTACGTGAACATCTCAAGGAGAAAGCTCTTCATGCCCACTTTAGCTTGAGACGACACATGAATCTTAGCAAACGAAAGCCAGCCGGGGTGCGTTGGGGTGTGTAAGCCAGGCCTGGGACGGCTAACGAATCGAAGAAACACAGCAAAATTCTAATAGCGGAGCTGCAAAGCGCGCGCGAGCGCAACACCATAGCTAAGTAAATCTACCCATCCGAGAAAATTTGGTAATCACGTGACCGTACACCGACCGAGCGCCCGTCCGTCCGTCGGCACCACAGGCATACCAATGTAGAATAACTCAATCAACATGTATGGCAACCCAAATGCAACTCCAGGTTGTTTTGGCGGGAAATCGCATAGCCACCCGCGTCTTGTAATGCAGAGACAACTAAAGAGTCAATAAAGAAGAAAACGGAAAGTGGAAATTGTTTCTGTATCCGTGTTGACTAAAGTATTAAGCACAGATTAATTTCATGTCCACAAATTTGAAATACAGGGCAAGAGAAAGAGAAAAACAGAAAGTAGGCGACAGGCCAGCGAAGCTCAACGAGAAAAAGAGCGACAGAGATCTAGAGAGAGAAAAAAACTAAGGAGACTTTTTGTTGTTGTTGGAAGAACAACACGAAAGTTTTGTAACGGCGGTAAGAAAATGAGAAATGCTAGCGGGCTACCAATGAAAAGTGAAAATGAGCGGCAGTAAAAAGAAAGTGAACTAGAACACGGACGACATTTCCTACATAAAATGTGTAACTAGGAAGTTTCTGGAAGTTTCACGATGTAGTCGTGCAAAACAGCAGCAAAGAAATGAACAAAAAGTGTGCTGCATGTGAAAAGTTGCTTTTTTAATAATTAGACCTATTGTTGTTTTTTCACCGTTATCCGACGTTGCGTTCGCCGCTTAGCATTATACGATTTTATATTTTTTTTGAATAAACTATAAATATTGTCG